GTACAGAATAATTAGAACAACCCATAGAAACACTTCTGCCAGATATGGGAAACAAAGAGAAAGGAGACAGCTGAGAAAGCAGTGAAATAAATTTCAAATGTACGTAGCAGCAAACAACACTAAATTAGCCTTCAGAGAAACTTATAGTAGCTACTGTCAAACTTAAACTGGGACTCTAGTTCACATAGCAGACCTTTCCAAAGATCGTGTGCTTGTTGTTAAGTTCATCTGCACGACCCAGTGTAAAGAAAAACTGACTCCCGTTATCATGGGGCCCAGCATTTGCCATAGCAACAAGTCCTCTTCGATTAAATCGCAGTCGTGAGTGGAACTCATCCTGTCAAAACCGAAGAGAAAACAGTACCATTGAAGTCTGTAATTATTTTTTTCACTTCTTTAGCTATGTCTTATTTACATCAACATGCACACACAGAAAATACGCTGTTAAATTTTTTTTTTAAATTCAGACAGTAATAAATCCAAAGTATTTTCAAACTTAGTGCCACAATTATATTTAGAAGTTTCTATTTTGAGCAGCGAAAATTATTTTAGTCAATATTTTTAATCCTGTGTGCCTACAATAATCCAAACAAGTGAACAACCTTCAAAAGAAACCATAAACACATAACCAATGAACACCAAACAAAAAATTAGAAACTAATTGACAAAATAAGTTTATTGACAAATCAATAACAGAAAGACGTATTATTTAATAAAAATCCTCAAATTTCTGTCTTGTTAATTTTATTTTTCCAATTGTTCCCTAAAAATCAACTGTTATTCATTATTTCTATTTGCATTCATTACCCCCCAACATTAAGAAAATCAGAAGTGTTTTAAAAAGTAACTGCATTTCATACATTTCATCTAAAAGTACCATTCTTGTGAATCACTGTATTTATGTGAAAAATCATAATTCATGTAAAGTAACTGAAAGTAACCACAATAAGAGGTTGTAATAATACATTTATCCAAAAATCCATAGGAAGAACATTTTCTTTACCATAAGAAGGTAAAATAGGACTCCTTTCAAAGCAAAGAGAAAGTGTTGAGTAATACATGAATACCATAGTAACATCACAATTCTAAACACTGCTGTATTGAGATAGTATTAATTTTAAGCAGCAATGCTACTACAGTATTGGTAATACTTGTTTTGTTCTCTGCTTAGTTACCAATCCCTCCCAAAACTTCACATTCGTGCCAAATGTCCAAGTCTAGGGGCAAGATGATGCAAGGCCCAGAGACAGGTTATGCACCTTCAGTCATGAGCCTCCCACATCTGAAATGAAATATCAGGCAGGACAGAACACAGCCACTGAGACTGCCTAGCTTCACTCAGGATTTGACCCTCCTGGCTAAGTGATGAGCCACGATGATAACAATAATACCAATGGACACATATACAGCCTTCAGAGACCTTTGCTGAATGAGATATAATGTGCACAAACACTTCTGAGTTGTCATATCTCAAGACCTAATCTTCATTCTTCCTCTCCCCAATTTTCTTTCGTGAAGCTCATGCTAATACGGTTATACATTTATCATAATATCAGAATAGCTAGATTTAAGAACTCTCAGTTCAAGGAGACATATTCAAACACACTGAAGCAGCATGTGAAATAAAATACTGCACACGTTTCATATAACATTTGATTTTTCACAACATAACATGGCAGGAAGAACAACTGATAGCGAATAACCAAAAATTAATGCATGAGATATACAGAGACACACCTTGAAGGGAGCTCCATAGACTGACTCTCCTCCTGATCCAGTACCAGTAGGATCACCTCCCTGCACTATAAAGCCAGGCACTACTCTGTGAAATATTGTGTTATTGTAATACTCTAAAATAAAGAGGAAAAAAGAATAAAACATTAAATACATGTTAGTGGTCTCAAAATCAAACTTTCATATAGATCATGCAGGGATGTCCAGAGACTCTAGTCCCAGAAAGCAAGTACTGGCAGTAGATTTTGCTGATGCCACTGAGTTCCCTTCTATTCCACACAGTCTTACAAAAACCCCCCTGCGTTGTCATATGTTTCTGTTGCAAAAGACCCTGCTCATCACTACCAAGATGATCTTGATCAACTACTTTCTTTTCAGCTTTTAAGTTTTTTTACTGGAATGATACTATAATTGCGATGCATCCATTTCAAAGGAGAGCTAGAACTACTATGCTCTGCCTCACACAATGTCTCACATACAACATCAGCCATATTCATATATCAGATGATTAGCACTTCCATGGACCAGCGTAGAACACATGTCACCCCTTTCACCACTTACACTGTGCCTAAACTGATAATTTTCGCAAAATGAAATTGGTGGCACATTTTTCTCCTTATCTTCTTATCTATCTACCTATCTAATCTATCTTATCTATCTATCTGAAAAAGGTTACACGATCATAAGAAAACAAAAGGAATGAAAACTTTACTTGACATATATTTCTGGTTGATTTTTTTATTATTATTATTTTTGAACAAAAATAAATCTGCAGCATGCTGTTAAGACAAAGCAGGGTCTGCAAATGTCACACCATAACTAGATATAGTCATGGGTGGTTATATCCCAGGATACTCACAAGAAATACTCAAATGTACTATACAAAGCACAGGATACTACACAGCAGTTAGAAAAAAATTGGAAAGGAAAAAAAGCCCACTGAGGATAAGTGAATTCTTACCAAGGGCTAAGAAACTGATTTACCATGTCAAAAAATTTCACCTATAGATGTAATAACACAGAACAGGTTGCTATTTCTGCTTAACAGATGAAGGCGAAAAGAACTCTTAGCCACTCTATAAATGCAAAAATGGGATAATAGCAGCAGTTAGAAAACATATAAAGGCATCACAAATTTTTGTTACAGTTTCCCAAGAGGGAGCTTCTTATTTTGGTACCCACTACTCCAGTGGAGAGCTTTACAGAGCTTCTGTCAACAAAAAAATACAGCAAATAAAAAATCAGAAACACTCACAGAAAAAAAAAAAGAAAAGATAGTAAATATGGCGACACAGAAATGAGAATTTTGGAGGATATTCAATGTTGCATCAGTGCCATCTCATACACACACTAAAGAAGTTATATTTTGTAGAGACTTGCTGAAAGTAAGCCTTTCCAAACCTCTGACAGGCACCGTTTCAGTAACACTGCATCATCTGCTAAAGTTGAGAAAACTATCCAATTTTTTTTCTCCACCAGGTTCATTAGCAACCTTGAAAAACATCGTGTGAGTGTTAACTGTTTTTAAATAGAAATAAACTTATTGAAGTATTAAAGTTAAAACATATTTATAACCCCTATTTTACAAAAAAGGCAGGAAGATTTCATATGAAGTAGTTTCAACAACTGCTATCCCATCATTACCTTCCATGCAAAGCTGGATAAAGTTTCTACACGCTTTTGGTGCTTCTTTTGACCATAATTCTATATCTATCTCTCCTGCTGTTGTTCTCAGCAAAACCTACAAAAATACAGATAAGTGCATCATCAGCTTTATTGTAAGTTAGTCAGTGATCAAAGAATACCATTGCTTACTTTAAAAATACATCTGAATTTAGTATATTAGTAACAGTGATAAACATTTAAATGTGTTGTATAGCTATTGTTAGTTCTAGATGGCGTTTCCAGAACTTGATATACAACTCTGAACTGATATGTATAGTAAGAATGTATAAAATAATCTGACCAGTGGATGTTTAGGATTGATTGGTCAGATTATGTGACCAATACATCTGTTCTAGAACAAGCAGCAGTCACAAGCATTGAGGCCATGTTGATGAGAACACAGCTGCGTTGGGCAGGACACATCTCCAGGATGAAGGACCACCGCCTCCCTAAGATCTTGCTTTATGGTGAACTTGCCACTGGCTGCCGCAAAAGAGAAGCCCTGTAGAGGAGATTCAAGGACTCCCTGAAACAACATTTTGGCCATATTGATCACCATAACTGGTCTACTCTGGCCTCCAATCGGGAGGTCTGGAGACACACCATCTATAACGCTGCTGCTTCCTCTGAGAATGCACACAGGATCACTCTTGAGGAGAAAAGACAACGCAGAAAGAATCGTGTCTTGCAGAATTTACCATTTAAGGAGTCCTTCTGCTGTGCCTTTTGCAACCAGACTTGTCTATCTCGTATTGGCCTTTTTAGCCACCAGCGCGCTTGTAACAAATGTGGGTAGAGCCCTTCCCAAATCTTTGTTCGAGAAGACTGGCCATGATAATATAATATAATACAATAACGTGGCTGGTACGTGGCACATGATAGAAACTTATATACTCTTTATCACTTCATAATGAAACAAAAGGGCGGAAAAAAAAAGCCATAAATCCCCAAAGGCATATTTCTCTCTTACAAGTATTACCATTACATTCAGTGAGAGGTCGTAACAAAATTAAGGGCGTTAAGATATAATCGGGAAGAGAGGAAATGAAATTAAATGCTCCAGGGATCCTTCTATATTATGTATCCACATATCACGCCTCGTGTTACGACTCTGGTAACGTCCTTAAGGGCGACATCACCTCGGAGTAACTTTAACCAAACGAGCCCAGCATGAAAAGCACCACCACATACGCACACAAGCCGCGTCCCCCCATACCCCTGCAACATACAACTTCTCCACGACCTTCGCCTCGGCTGCCTCACCTTCCCGTTGGTGGGCGGCTCCTGGATGTAGATGTTGCTCATGGCGGTGAAAGGACCGTGGGACTACCGAACACCCGCCCGCGCCCGACCCTGGACTTCGCTGCTTATCCAGCGCTTCCTACCGCGCACAGCCGCCAGCCATTTTGGGCACCTATACACAGCCCTGGGAAGGGGGGCGTGAGGCTGCCCAAGCCAGGAGGAGGGACGAAGAGATGAGTCCCCGGCCGCAGTCTCTACGGGAGTCACTGCAAAAGGACGTCTTTTGGGAAAAAAACGAGGGCTTCTCCACACACCTGCAGTCCCTCCTCGAGCCTCCCGCCCGAGGGGCACTGAGGTCCCCCGCCTTTCCTGTGAGTGGCACGGTCCGGGAGTGCGCCGTGCAAAGCCTTCCGGCAGGGAGAGGCGTCGGTGCAGGCGCGGGCCGGAGGCGGCGGGAGCGGCGGGATGGCCCTGCCGGGTGAGGGGCCGGGGGCTGGAAGGGGCAGGGCTGGTGGGATCGGGGCCGGGAAGGAAGGAACGGGGAATGAGCGGCGGGGTGATGAACAGTTGCGCGGGGGTGGTGGGGGCTGCTCTGGGAGGGAGGGCGGGAGGAAGGTGCGGAGGTGGCGGGGCGGGCAGGGCCGGGGGCAGCGCAGCCTTGCGGGAGCGTCCTCTGGGCCTCCTCACGCGGTTTTGGCTGATCCAGCCCTGCGTTCCTGTCGCCTCCTCCAAAGTCAGATCCGAAGAATGCTGGTGGTCAGCCTTGGTTTTCCTTCTCGATTGTTGTTCTTGGTTAACGTAGGTGCTCCAGCAGATTGTTGTTCGGAATGGTGGTGAGGTAGGGCAGGGAGAAACGCCTACGCTGTTAGCAGGGTGTTCGTGCCATTGCTGCACAGTCTTGATCCTGAGAAAAAGAAGAGTGTATGGTTGGAGAACAGCTGACCAAGCCTGGGCTTTGGTGAGCTACTTCTCTGGTGAAGTATAAGCTTAATAAGCTTGCTCCCATTCTAGAGGAAGTTCTTGAGGAAGACTCGTCTTTGCATTCAAAGGTTTGCAAAGCTTTTATTTTTAATGTTACGCTCCAGTGAGTGAACCAAGTCCTAGTGCTGTGTTGGTTAATTTTCTTGAGGATTAACGAATGGGAGGGAGAAGAAATTACAAAAGGAAGCATCTAGGAATTTGTTTTAATTGTCTAAAATTTCATCTAGTCTAAACCTCAGCTTCTAACATTATTATTTAAAACCAAAAATAATAATAAAATTTCAGTCGTCAGAATTTGGTGGGAGTATTGGGTGACAATATTCTTGTCAACTGCTGGGTGTTTCTCTTGGAAATCTTGACCTACACCAGAGATTTTATAGTGTGTGCATGACTTTACTGATCTCCCTTGGATGAAATACTAAATCTTTCTTTGCCTACAGGTCAGCTCTGTAGTAGGGCTGAAGTTTACTAAGTAGTAATTTCAGAATGTCGAGACCAGTTAGGTAGCTCAGGTGATCTGGTTTTCTAGTCCCAAGGTGTAGTGAACAAGCAAATGCTGTTTTGAGTGGTTTTCTGATGTGACATTTCAAGGTACAGGCATGCTTTTGGTTTTTGTTTTGTGGCACTTCCTTCCATGTGTCTTTGAAAGAGGCAGTCATGCAACAGGCACTTGAACATTGAGTTAATAGACCTTTAAGGGGATATGTGATACTAAGGTTTTGGGATCTGCAGAAAATCATGTGTTATAATGGAATGTATATATTTTTATTTGTTGGCTTTCCAGTACTCTTTAGGGCATAGACCAGTGAGTCGTCCAGATTTCCAAGTTAGTTTTTTCAACCTGGGGTTGAAGGTTTCTCTGTTATTTTGAGTAGAATTTTCTAAAGACAGTGCTTGTCTCAGTAAATCATAGTTTAAATGCCTGGCATTGATGTACTCCCTTTCTGGTTCTCTATTTTCTGTAATAGATTTCTTATTATGTTTGATTATTTATTTATTTAAATACATTAACAAGCTATTCAGAAGACACTTTATAACTATTTAAGTCACTGAAGTTTTGTTGGAAGATAGAAGGGCATCCTTTGCTTTTGGAAATTCGGTTGTGACATTCATTATGAATAGGCTCAGATGTTTAAAAATCATACTGATTTATTTGAAAGGGGAAAAGTCTCTGGTGTTTCTCTTCTTCTGAATCATGTTCTACTATTTCTGTTTAACTTAACTGTGGTCTCACGTGAGAAAATTCCACACTTTCTGTACCTAAAATTTGGATTATTCTGGTCCTTCTTCCTGCTTAACAACTGCAGACTTTTTTGTTACTCTCTTCACTTTATTATGCATTTGCTTTCTTGCACCTCTTAATTCTTTGTATTTGGTGCCATGTTTCCTGGATTCAGAATCATTTAACAATTTGTTGACTTTTTTTTTTTCTGACTTTTCTGGACTGATTTTTTTGTTTTCTTTGTTTTTTAATTGCTGTTTAAAGTCAATTCCTGTAATTAAAATATAAGTCACTTCAGAGTTCCCAGTGAATGTTTGTCAATATCCATACACTGCTAGAATTTATAGGTACACTTAGTGTGCAGTTACAGATTACTGGAATGTCAGGTAACTATTATTACTGTACTCATACTGTAACTAAACAAATGATAAGCTTTCAGAGAAGTGGAATAATTATTAAAATTATAATGGAAAGGTCATGATAAATCAAATTAGGATTTGGCAATAAGTTATGTGAGTGGTTTATACTACACAGGAAAGTGACCGTAGAAATGCACTGTTTTGCCTTTCTTTAAATTTTTCTTAAGAGATATGTACTTTCATATGTATTTAATGCTCTGAGTGATCACTTTTGTCTGTGTATTGACATTATCAAGCCAGATTTGAAAGAAGCTTGAGGGTTCTGTTTAGCTAGACCTCATTGGTGAAATTTTCTCTTTCAGGCGGAAATAAGGATAACATCAGAGCAGGATGCAAAAAGTGTGGTTACCGTAAGTCAACAATAAACAATATGAAGTTACAGTGTTTCATTCAATTTATGATGTTGGAACTGCCTTTTGAGGAAGCATTGGGGAAAATGAAAAAAAGTATTCTCCCTTATTGCCCAGATATTTGTCAGTTTTAAATACCACATTTTTAAAATTTATTTATTTAATTTTCATTCTCTGACTTCTCACACCTGTTGCTGCTTTTGAAAACTCTTGAGTTTCTCAGAAAAAAAATTATGCTATTATATTCATATATACTACATTTGCAGTAGTAAATTACTTGAGAAAGTTTGAATTGAAAGCATCGTCTTTGATACATACTGAGATTGTGCTTCTGAATCTCACTGCAAACAGGCAGGCACTTCAGCTCAAATTAAGGCCAATCTATGTTACAAGAAAAAATAATTTAAAATCTGTGTGATCTTTTAAGCCAAGAAAACATGTTTCCTTGAGCATTGTGTATTTCAAGAGGCAGTTACGTTTATTATTTACAAGTTGTACAGTTAGCATTTAGCTCATGCTTTGCATTATATACTGATCATACAGGTATGTCTGTGGCTACTTTCCTGATGAATGGAAAGAGGTCTTAGTGAAGATTTTAATTTGTTAATCACTAACTCTTATATTTAGAACAACGGAGGAGTAGTCACTGTTTTCCGGTGAGTTATATTGAACTTTTAACACAGTGATCTAAGCTGGTAGAGTTTTTTTATGAGCGTTACATAGGGTGACAGTCTTGTTTCAGTCAAAGTCACTTCAGACTTTGCAGGAAAATTTGTCACTGAATTGTTTTGTGTATGTCTTCTTCAAAAGGACCATGGATATCAATATAGATTTAGTGCTCTGTTTCTACATGCAGCAAGTATCAGAAACTTTCTGGAAGAGAGGGAAACCTGTAGTCAAATCAAACAATCCCTGTTTGTGTTCCTAAAAGCTCTGTCTTCAAGATATAGGTGTTTTGATGTGAAGAACGTGAGATTTATTTCAATTACTACTTGAATTCATGCATCTCCCAAACCATATTTTCAATTTGTTTTATTTCACTTTATTATTCCATTAGGCTTGTTCAGCACAAGGTTTCTAACTGGTCATGATTATCAAGAAAATTAAAAATGCTAGTCGAGTAGTACCTTAGTCATTAGTAAGTACTGGTTGTAAAGATTATAGCTCATAAGCAAATCGGATTCTGTGATTTCACTAGACAGAGTTAAAAAGAGCAGTATAACGCTTGCTTTAATTTTTTAAATATTTCACTTGATGCTTTTAGGTAGTTTCTTAGAAAGTATCCAAGACAATTAAAAATAGAAAAATAAAAGTTGAACAAAATCTTTAACAGAAATAGGAGAGAGGTCATAAAGCACTGTTAAATGGAAGAGCATTGCACTACCTGTCAAAATTCTTGGAGATTTTTTCAAAGTAAGCCCTCTCCTGTGTCATTCTCAGATTCCAGCCTACCCTTTTTTCACTTCTCAAAACCAAATAATACAAAAACGGATGTTCTTTAGTTTCTGATATTTTTTGCTAAACTGTAATTTTTCTTTCTTTATATTTGTTTTGTCCAGCTGGTCATTTGACATTTGAATGTCGAAACTTCCTCCGAGTAGATCCCCAAAGAGATATTGTTTTAGATGTTAGCAGCACTAGCAGTGAAGACAGTGAGGAAGAAGAACTACAGAGATTGCAAGCCATGCGTGAAAAAAAGAGTAAGATGTTTTTTGTGTTTTTTTTTCTTTTCAGTCACAGAATACATTGAATAATGGTCTTCTGAAGTGTAGGAACTCTCATTTTATCCTTTTTGATAACTACTATTAGTTCTTTTAGCTTATGATTTAAAAGTAGGTCTTGTACTTCCTATGTTCAGACTTAGAGATGTGATACACCCACTTTTTTTATTAGTATTAATTCCTGTCATAGGAAATTATTAATGTATCCATGTGGAACATCTCAAAAAGGGCTCCTAAATGCAAAAGATTATCAGACTGTTACTAAGAAGCTGCTTAGGAGAAAATGATACGGATGTTCTGAGTTAATCTTTTGATTATGGCATGTAGTTTAAACATAACTAATGACAAATATGACAATTTCTCTCCAGCTTCTGAGTAGGATTTTGACTGAAACAGCTAGTAAATTGGAATTTAAACATTTATATTTGGAAAATTACTCTTCTATGTTTGGAAGGTGTGAGTATGAATTGTTTGTCAGAGAGAATAGATGGGTATTTATCAGGTACTGGAGTTCATTTGAATTTGGACTTCAAAGAAGTAGTTCTCCTAAGTAAGAAGGAGAGATTACTCCACCATAGCATGTTTTGAATGAATGAATGTTCTTCTTCTCTGCCAAAACATCATGTTATGTTCTGTTGCTCTCTCGTTCCAGACTTGACATTTAGTTCCTACTGAAGATGCTATTTAGGGAGGAGAAGGGAAAGATAGAGCCTCCTAGTTTGCTGTACACTTCAAAAGAAATGGGTAGTCTGCTTGACAAGAGTGCTGAATTGGTACTGCAATGGTCCTTTCTTGGGACAAGTCTCTCTGGAAAAACTGGTTCCCACTTATTATGTATTTCTGAATGTAAGGATTAGGGGTTTTTTGGCCCTGATTGAAGATGGATACCTGCAGGGAAAGCAGCTGTTTACCTGATCTTCTAATATCCATATTTATTATATTTTCTTTCTCAAACTGTGACTGCGAAGGAGACGTGTATCTCTAACTGTCAATAATGTAGGCAGAATTTTGCCATTTTCAAGTGGCCTCATCTCAAGATTTTTGCACTATTTTCTTAAAAAAATACTGAGTGTTTGTTCGCCCATTCTTGTTCATGTTTTTTATTTGCTCCAAAAATAATTTGCTTTTTTAATTCATATTGAATTATTTCAAATTTTGCTCCAGAACATACAGACCAGTAATTTGTATTTGTGGTGGCAAAGACTGCACTAGTAGCGTGCAGACTTTGTAGAAAGTATGATAGGAATAAGATGAAATGCTCAAAATTGACTGTTCTAAGAATAAATTATAAAGGCTGTATTTTCCTGTTAACTGACATTGTAATGTGTATTTATTTAATGGATTTGCATTTGGAGAATTAAAAAATACTTTTTGAACTGGTATAGAAAAATCTAAGATCAGAAATTTCATCTCCAGTGTGATAAAAATATATTTTATAAGTGAAATGTGAAGTTACTATGCAGTACTATACAGCATCGGGGCAGGAAACAAACACAACCAGATGAAGGGTAATGCTTCTGTCAGTCTTTGTAGATGGTGCATGGACAATTAATTCATTTATCTTAGTTATAGCATTGCTATTTGTGAAGTGTGAAAGAAAGATGTGTGAATGTAATTCAGGTTACATTCCTGAATATCTTAGGGGAATATCCTTTTTTTTGGTATGTTCTAGTTAAATGGCCTGCTTTCAGACTTAGGCAATAATATGGTAAGTATTAAGACTGTTAAAATACAGAAAAACAGATATGAAAACCTGAAGCTGATGTCAATGTATAGGAAAAGTTACAACTTTTTGCTAAGTTTTACAGGCCTTCCTTCCTTCTTAGTGCTTAGATCAAGGTCATTAGAATGTAAGCTGTGTATAAAAATCCTGCCACTCTGCAAAATGTTTCTGAAATTGTTGCACTAGACCAGAATTTGGAGGAAGGAAAAGAAAACCTTTTCACAGGAATTTTGTAGTAACTTTACATTGCTATTGAAGCCGCTTTTTTAATTCTGATCTAAATTCAGACAAGTGCTTTTTAAAATGTAACTTTTTACCCATAGATTTAAATGAGGAGGAAGAAAAAAAGAAACAAAAAAGAAAAAACAAAGAGAAGACAAAAAGACAAAGGAAAAGGTAACTCGTATCACACAGCTGTTTTCATTTCAAAACGCAACTTCAGAAATATTTCTGATACTTGGGTTGTCTCTCAGAAGATATTGCTTCTTTTTATGCAGCTTGTTTTGCAAGTGCATCTTTGGTTTGAAAAGTTTCCTCTTTTCCAGTGAGAACTTGTTTGTTCTTGGATTAATGGTAAAGTCATGGGCTTTTAGCAGTGTAGTTAGGATCATGGAAGTTTTGAAAACTATAGTAAGCTGGAGGTCTGCAGATTGGAGAAAGCAATGTTTCCTCTGACTGGAGAAGGCTTCCTGCACTTCAGAGACCCTAAGATTCTTTGCGTGCACACATTCACATGTAGACACACATGCAGGCACACACATGCTCTGAGTAACATGCAATTATCAAAAGGAAAACTTCTGTAGTTTTACTTGGCATCTGTCTGTGGCAGACTTCTACACTTGGCATACTTCTACACCTGTCAGTGTAGAAGCCTAAAAAAAGTATTATTATGAATCTGAGTTCTGACCTGATGATTGATTGTTTTGTCTTTTAAGATGAAACTAATGGTTAATCATTAGGTCTGTTGATAAGACAATATCCCAGGAACTGCCCTGGGAGCTATAAAATGTGTAATGTATTTGGAGACCACAATAAGATATTTTTCAGAAATAAAGAAACAGGATTTAATACTGGTTGTACTGACATTTTTTTCCTTCTTTATTTACATCGTGTAGCTCCAACTTCCACTTTTGAAGACAGTATTTACACTTACAAAAAAGAAGAATAGAAAAGAGTCAGTTTGGCTGTCGGTTTTCATGCAAGTAACTAATAGTTAATCATGTAAACAATAGCACGAAACTGCCCTTCTGAGTATTCATGATTATTTCATGACTATTTTATGTGTGTAATCACTCATCATGGGTTAGCGTCCAGTACTACCAGCTGCAAGAGCATCCAAATTTGTCATACCAAGTTTCTCTTAGATTTTTACATTGGAGGAAGAAATCAAGATTTTTTTGAAGGCATTACTCTCACACTGTTATTAATCATGTGGTATTTTAAAAGCTGGAAACTCTGTCTTGCTGTCATACTTTATTTTCTGTTGATCTGTACTTCTAGTCTTTTTCTTCTTGAAGACTGAAAAAACATACAACTTGCCTATTCCATAGTTTTTTAATCTGTATTATAAACATACAAAAGTCTTATTAGGAAAGTCATGATTGAAGTTGAACATGCAGACTGAGATATCATAAGCTTTTCAGTGGATGCTACTGTGCAAATTCTACACCAAATTTTATTTGTAACATATAAATAGTGACATTTAAAAAAAAATATTGTGACATTTTCCTTCTTTATTAAATATTAATCTGTATTATTTTTTTCATTAGATCTTCCACATCAAGTTCAGTTGAAGAGGAGGGGCCAAAGTCAAAAAGACAAAAATCACATAAAAAAGAAAGGGAAAAGGGGAAAAAGCATAAATCTAAGAAGGAAAAGCATCATAAAAAGGAGAAAAAGAAGAGACGAAAGGAGAAAACTTCATCTTCTGACAGTTCGGACAGTTCAAGTAGTGACTGAGATGCTGGTCTATTTTTGTGTTCACTTCTGCAGAGAAGGTGATTTTCCTTTCATATCAAATTTATTTATGCTTGGCAGTGCTGTTTTAAAAGGGGATATATGTATATTTTTGAGAAATCTATTTGCACACATCAGTGCTTCAAATTATTAGATGGACCATTTAGGAAAACATTTCAAGTTTATTAGTACTAAACCATGTAAGTTTAACTAGTTCTTCACTCTTATTCTTAGTTCAGTTATGAGTAATTGTGTTTGTAATCCCTTACAGTAGGATGTAGTAAACTTCAGTTTGCAAGCTTATGTGTAGAAAGATACAGACTTAAATATGCTTAATGTCAGAATGGTTAAATCTAATCTGGAAATTCAAGTGAGATTTTCTGTTATCCTTTAAATAAATGTATGTTTGACATAGCACTTTCTGCTTTCATCCATTAATCAGTAAGTGCAAATATGAAACAGGTCCTGAGAAGGGAGGAACGGGCAATGAGGACCTAAAAAAGATTGAGCCTTCAAAATTATCTTCAAAAATTGATCTAGTCTTAGACTGTGAAATACAGGTACATGTTCTTTCGGCAGGATCACTGTAAGCAAGCTGAAAACAAACAGAAGCAAACAAAAGCCATTAGTTTCTCTAAGTCCTTTCTACTTGGGTTTTGTTCTTTCACAATTATGGCCATTTCATCTTTGACACATAGACCAGCGCGCACACACACACACACACACACACATATATATCTCAAAACAAGATTTCTAATATTAAAACTTTAGCTATTTCTTCATTCCTGTCAATTCTTATTAGCTTCAGTTTGCATGAATCGCACTTTCAAGGGTAAACCCTGACGTAACTGCTGCTATTGTACAGGCCCAAGATGTTGATTGTATGTCAGCTACTCAGCAAGCACCAAAGCTCTTACAGTATGAGAGTGATGCCAGTACAAACAAGAAGTGCCATTCCCTGTCAGCTATCTTCTATAAACAATAAAGACATCCGAAACAGGCTATTTAGTGGAGTTAATTTAAATGTCAGCATAGTACTTAAGATGTGACTTATTTAGAGTTTTCTGTGTAAGCTAAATACTTGTCCTACTGAGAAAGTATACTATGAACAAGAATGATTACTCCTTATTTATCTGTATTGTATATAAGTATTCATGGGACTTTAACCTAGTGTAATAGTTTGTAAAATATCCTTGCAGAATTTTGACCATCAGAGAATTTCAACAAAGAATAAAGTTGAGCTTTAAGAAACACATTGTATATGGTACTAGTTGTCCAGGAGAAGATTTAGGCTGGAAATTGGCAGAAACTTTCTTTACATCAAAGAACTGCAGTCTTAGAAGAGCAAGAAATAAAACTTCTGGTGTCCAACTCTTGTACACCAGAATTCACATTACTGGTACTTAGGTACATTTAAAAAGAAGGGAGAAAATATAAATATCACACCAAGAAAATTTACAGATGATACGAAATAAGGTGAAGACTCAAAGTGCTACTGAGGAGAAGACTGATAGCTCAAAGCCAAACAAGTTCAGACAGGGAAATGGAAAATGTCTTAAGACTGGCAATACGAGGCTAGATCTGAACAGCAGATTATGCATATACTAGGAACAGCTGTGGAACAATTTAAAGTCAGTGTTAGAACTCTTGGCACACCATGATCCATAGAAGATATCTCCTGCTCACTTGCATTTAGCCAAGCTCAGTTTTTTTGAGGCAGAAAAGGAAGGTTCTGCTGGTAAAGGGTAAGTTTTGCTGCCTGTCAGTCAGTGCCTTCAAGATTCTAGAACTACTTCCCAAAATAATGCTACAAATATCCTCACTGAAGTAACTCGGGACTAAGTGAGCAGAAATACATCTTTCATTAGCTTCTGTTGCTTCTTGTTCATGAAGCTGGACAATGGATAGGATACCTCTTACATAATAAGGAATCTCACCTTTACACTGACAAAAGACCAGTTGGTATTTAATGCATCATTGTACAGTTATTTCTGGGATGGAAATGGGATAGAAGTTGGTTCTTATGTTTTTTTTCTGTTTTCTAATGGAGATTTTCTAAGTTTTGATTAGAAGAAAAGAATGCTAGAACAGAAAATCATTATAGAAAATCCTGGGGTTTTGGAACAGAAATACTCAAATGGCAGATGACTACTCTTTGCCACATCAACCAGCATTTCCATCAAATGTCACAATTCCTCTTCCACCAGGAACCAACATTTTGTAAAAATCTTCAGTAGAGATGACTTCTGCAGGTTTTTTAATAGAAGGTGTTAAAATGTTTTCATCTGCAGGAAATCAGCAGGGAAGTGCCTTCCTCAGCAATTACCAAAAAACTATTAGTTGGTAGCAACAGAAATGTCCTTTAAATCTCCAATACTTTTGTCTTTTGTTGAAAGTTGTATGAAGGTTAAGTCACAATCAGAGAAATGCTAAAATTGTAATACAGAAATGAAAGATGGGAAACCAGTAATAAGGATTATAGTATCAGGTACTAACAACTACGGTTTGGGTGAGTTTTTTTGTGCTGTGGCTAGATATCACCATCCATTTGCACTGAAAGAAGAGAATTCATCTGGTTTTTTGGCATTTTTTTTGTGCAAACACTGATGGAAAAATACTATTGCAGACAACATTAGATTTTGCTCTTGATAAATGACACGATCTTAGAAATGTTATATTTGGCATTTCTTCACTAGGAAAGTAGTACAGCACTAGGGCAGGTTGTTCAGGAAAGCTGAAGAGTTTCTATCTTCAGAGGTTTTCAGGACTCAGAAAAAGTCACTTGGATCGAGAGTGCTACAAACACCTAACTGCAGCCTTTAGGTAGTCCCTCTTTCCATCTCTATAAGGCAGAAGCGTTCGTGTTTCACAGGAATACTGGCAAAATATTGAGTGATGCCAGTATGAATAATCCTGTTCAGATGGGAAGCTTTGGGACTAAGAGAGTAAAATTACTTTGCTCTTTTTTGTTTTGTTTTTAATTTAGCTATACTGAGATATTAATTTGGGTGGTATTCTGTTTGTAATGAAATCATACATCAACAGCATACTCTGGCATCCAGTACTTACTGCAATATTAATAGACAGTTAAACTGTCTCTCCTAGTCAGTTAATCAAATACTTAGTAAAATTCAATGTGCTGCTTCACAGTCTGTCATGACCAGGAAAGACTGGTACTATACTTCTGCTTGGGACTGGTCAAAGAACTCAAATCTTTTGCAGCCACGTTTCCCAAGTAAGCTCAGTATGGGTTAAGAGGCTATCTTCTGGAGGGTTTTTTTTTTAAATATCTTAATCAACCTTGACTGGGATTTGGATAATCAGCTGAGCACTGCTTACAGGGGATGTCACTCTGGCCATTGCTTTGCAAATTATATCTAATTTAGAAGTGACTAGGAGTCCCAAATCAGAACATAAACCATTTGGTCCATTCTCAGATGTCTAGACCAGATCCAAAATAAAATTTAGTGGGTCTTAGGCAAATTGAGTTGTCACAGACCAAAACTTTTAATTCTGAAAATTTAAGGCCTTCACCCTTTAACATTCATGATACTTGTTCGTGTGTAAAGAAGCTGGTGCCTTATTGCAAATTTAATTTTTCTTGTTTGCATATTGATGCATTAGACCTGGGGTCTAAAAAAGCATGATGTGGGTGCTTATATTAGGTATACTTGGAAGGGTTTTGGTAGCAGGGGTGGATTCTGTGAGAAGATGCTAGAAGTTACCCCTGTGTTGGACAACACCAGTTCAAGCTGGCTCCAAGATGGACGCTTCACTGGCCAAGGCCAAGAGCATCAGTGATGGTGGTAGGACCTCTGGGATAATATATTTAAGAAAGAGTGAAGCCTGCTGTACAATGGCATCAAGGAGAGAGGATTGAGAATATGTAAGAGTAACAAATCTGCAGACAGCAAGGTTAATGAAGAAGGAGGGGGAGAAGGTGCCATGGTGAGTCAGCTGCCCCCCTATGGTCCATGGAGGTCCACAGTGGAGTAGAGGTCTGCCTGCAGATCATGGAGGATCCTGTGTTAGAGCAGGCGGATGTGCCCAAAGGATGCTGTGACCCTGTGAAAAGATGGTGCTGGAGCAGGCTCCTGGTAGGACTTGTGGCCCTATGGAGAGAGGAGCCCAAGCTGGAGCAGTTCATGGAGAACTGCAGGCTGTGGGAAAGACTCGTGTTAGAGAATTTCATGGAGGACTGTCTCCCACGGGAAAGATCCCACGTTGGAGTAGGGAAGAAGTGTGAAGAGGAAGGGATGGGACAGACAACAAATGCCTGATGAACTGACCACAACCTCCATTCCCCATCCCCCTGTGCAGCTTGGGGGAAAAAGCTAGAGAAACCAGGAGTGAAGTTGAGCCTGGGGAAAAGGGAGGGGTGAGAGAAAGGTGGGTTTAGATCTGTTCTTATTTCTTCTTATCCTACTCCACTGTTCATTGGCAATAACTTAATTTTCCTGAGTCAACTTGGTTTTGCCCATGATGATAACCAAATTGTCGAGCGATCTCAGTGTCCTCAACCCATGAGCCTTTCATCATCCTTTTCTCCCCCTGTCCAGTTAAGGAGGGGAGCAATATATCAACTTTGGTGGGCAGCCAAGGTCAGCCCACCACAGTGGTCTCAAAAATGTTCCATTAAGCTTGTTGTGTTTTTGATTATATTTCTCATATCTTTATATTTTTGTCTAGTTTACTGTATTCCCACTGATTTTCTGTCTTGATGTCTGTGGAATCTCTATACCTGCTTCAAAGACCATAAATTTTGGGCTATGTAGTAAACATCTCTTATAGTAGTCCATTGCCACAGTCTAAACAGCTCTTCAAACTTGTCAAAGTCCTTTAATTTATACTCATCTGCTTACCATATATTGAAAAATGAATGGCACTATATTGTATGTCATCCAAAATAAGCCTGCTATGGGATGAACAGTTAACACAGGGACACAAGGTCACAGGGACAACCTTCTACGTATTGTATAAGTTAAGATGCAGATTTTGCATGCTAATTTTTCATATTGGGTTAGCATGCAGCCTGCAATATGTATTTGCTCTCTCCTTCTGTATGCTTGTATTTTGCTTCTACTCTGAAAAATTTAGACTTTACATTGAACATATATATTTGACTTCTTAGACTGGTATTTTTTATGACATGAAATGTCTGAAAACCTGGAGCTGCACAGGGTTTTAGTAAAAAAAGACTTGGTGGAACTTGTCATATTTGGTAGTTACGGGAATTTTTGCTTCTTGTTTCCTACCCTGCAAAAGAATTACGGTGCCTTTAACCTATAATATTTTCAACTAAACTGTTCAAACCTTTTGAAAGCAATTACTGCTTTCCTCTATATTCTCCCTAAATTGCTTGTTTCCATGCATTCAGGAGTTCACCAATGTGAAGTTGTCTCTTTTCTTTGGTAATACTTGGAAAATAAACAAATAAAAGAATGGTTGCAAATCATCTCTTAAGTGATTTGCGTATCATTTTATTGTGAGAGATTTTAAACTTTGATCCCACATTGCCCTGTTCCATTAAACTAAATTGTAGTAATATCATTAACTTTCTTTTACCAACACCATGTTCTGCAGCTTAAAAAGAGTTTGTTGCCTTTTGAATTTTAGTGCTCTGCATTCCTAACTAAACCAACTTATCCCTTAACACCTCTTCAATTCAGATACTTACCAGGCCTTGGTTCATGCCACTATCTGTTAAAAGGTAACTGAGGACATTCCATTCACCCTTGATCACCAATGTCCCTTAAGTGCCCATAAAGCTTGGGAATTACAGCATGTGTCCATTAGGATTAGTAGAAGGTATAAATAAAGACGAAAGGCTTGAGATAAGCTGCTAAATTGCTTAGAAGTATAGAAAGGCTTCAAAATGAGTAAAGGCTGAAATTTTAATAGTCTTTAATTCAGGAAGAAAAGACACTGCTGAATTTTCCAGAATAACAAAAGGTACTAGGATGCACATATTACGGTACACTTCAATACAGTGCAATGCAAGTCTCTCCATCACAGAATCTGCTCAAGTTGTGCAACTCATTGTGATATGACTGATGTCAAGATTTGTAAAATGAATTAAAATGTTTATACATTTGTCTAATTAATGTATATTCCATTCCAACGGGCATGGTTAAAATGCAGAGATATAAGCTGTCACGTAATTTGTTATGTTAAATTCTGTGTGATGATATGTGAGCAGGTACTCAGCTAGACACGTTACTGCTTACTCTGCCCATCTTCCTTTCAAATTAATTGTTGAAAAAAGGTATCACGCTGACCTCCTATGGGTATTTCTCTCTGTGTACCAATATTGCAAGACTTCCTAAAGAAGTCTTGTGTAAAAGTTTCTTTCTCTCTTCCTCTCTCATGGTATCGCTGCATATTCAGTCTTGCATTCATACCCCTTTTTTTTGGCATTAATGTCTTTATCACTTATGAACAAAAGTTAATTGGTTAATTGTAACTACTGATTGTATTCCTAGACAATATTTTTAATATCCATTAGACATCAGGAGTTGTTTTTCCAAAGTTTTAACAGTTGCAAAACCTAGCGTACCTGTGGGGATGGAGTCATGGAGAATATCTTGGTTTGAGACTCCTAATGAAAACATGTCAGTGTTGCCTATTACAGAAAACAGCTCTGGTTAATGAGGACAATGTTAATGAGAAATGTGGAGAAGACTTCAAAGAATTAACTTTGAAAAAATACTGTGCTATGGATTTTAATTCCATTCTTCTTAAAAGTGCATTTGTTCTCACAAACACACAATTTCGTGAGTGTGTAGGGATCTCCCCAGTTTAGGTGCTTAAGAATATGTATGCTTAAGAATACTTCAGGACCTGAAATCTTCAAACACATTGGAGTTACCTGTTTCTGTGCTATTTAAAGAATTTAGCCAAGCATTCCTCAGATGGAATTAATTTTGGAAACTCACAAGTTCCATAAGGGCATTTTAAATTTATTTGTCCTCATTGCATTTAAAATATTTATTTCTTGGCTTGATTATTTAAAAATGTATTTTCTCTCTGGGGGAGTGAAAGGTGAACAGACCAGTCCAACCTGGAAAAAACTAAAAGACTATGCTTTATCTGACTGACAAGAAAAATATCCTTCCAGAGAAATGCTGGAAGCTCAGTTACATGAATGTCTAATCTGGGAGTGGTGTGGCTTTTCTGGAAGAAAAAGTCCCGCCTTCTGTTCCTGGTAATTAGATCTGAATTTTTGGTCTTTGCTATAAACAGTATGTTAATATTTCTGACAATGTGGGCTTTTCCACCCTTTCTCAGCAAACAGCAGGAGAAAAACTTGGTAGAAAAATGGGTCAGATCAAACTTTTTAGTTGCCAGATACAGTTCAGTGAACAGCTATCCCTAACAAACTGCTTTAGGGGGTGTACTAATATCCTACCAAAAAACTGACAATGAATTTAACTGTATGGGTGTTTCCTGTGGCAAGGACACAACAACCTCCTTACCAGCACTAAACCTTTGTTTTGGTTCTTTTGACATGCTGGGTCATGGTAGAATAAAGGGCTATGAGTCACTATTACTGACTACAAGGATATGCTGACGTGCACAGTAATGACAGATTGCTATGGGTTTCATAGTGTTGCAGTCTAGCACAAGTTTATTTCTGGTGTCTTGCCTATCATCTTGAAATATCAGTACACTGAGTCTACCTATTCATATCTACTGCTTCTACTAGCTGTCATTTTAGTATTTATATATGCTCCATATTTTTTAGCTTTCTAAACATACTTCTTGAAATGGAAATATTATCAAAACTTTGTGTAGTACTCTGACAGCAAAATTAGCAAAACATAGTCCAGCAATACAACTAGAAACAAAACAATATTTAATTAAATAAAAAACTTTATTAACAATGTAAATCGTTTAATATCTTACAGTCTCAGATGATTCTGGCATGCCTTATAAGTTTTAGACTTAGTGATATGCAGACACCATGCTTTGAATTCTATTGGAAACAAAGTGGGTTAGTGTTGTGTTTTACATTGTTTATTTTAATACCTCCTTTTAATAAATTATTTATTTTTTCCAAATGCTTGTAGATATACTATTGACTTAAAAGGAAATCTGTTGCTTCTATGCATTGTACAGTATGCAGTTATTATATTTCTCTGTATTTACAGTCCTAACTACTTTCATTTATGATTTGTGTATCATAAATTAAGATACTTTTCTATGAAGCTTTTAAATTGAGATATATTGGAAGACTAAATATAAATGTGAGCACAAAAAGCAACTGGAGATTTTGGCAAATTCTGTTACAATATGGTTTGAATGTTTTAGAACTTTAATACTTTTGCTGTTAAATAGTTTTATATGCTTAAAGACTGTTAAGAGTATGACCAAATATTTCATTATGATACTAAGAATACTGTACTATGCACAAACTTTTAGCAGCAATTCAAACAATTAAAAAAACCTCTTAAAATAATCTATGAACCATAATTCATGTGTCTTTGAGCAATTGAAAGTAAGCATGCAAAACATACTTTAAAAAGTTTTAAATATGCTAGATCTATTCCACAGCTGGTTTTTGATCACCATAATTTTACACTGTGAAATCCCTTATCTGAAGATGGGGAGGGAGCAGAAGAGCAAAATGAGTAGTGTAGTGTAGTGTAGAAAATGTATTTTATAATCAAGAGGAGCAACGTTCATCTTTTCAGTGGTCGAATAACAGTGGTTTAATTAAAGTCATGATCTTCTTGGTGCTTCTGTGCTTAATCTTCTAACTTGAGACAAGACAACACAATCCAAAGAATCTTCGCTTCCGTCTTCTTACCAATGGATATGGAGTCAAGTTTAGGAGGCTGCTATCATCTGTGATGAAAAATCCCACATTATAACAAAAGCATGTACACGCACAAAAGAGATTATATCATTTATGTGTCCTAACAGCACCTACATAACTCAGAGTCACAGAATCATTTAGGTTGGAAAAGTCCTCTGAGATCTAGCCCAACCTTTGATCAATCACCACCTTGTCAATTAGCCCTAAGTGCCACACACAGTCATTTCACCTCTAGGGATGGTGACTTCACCACCTCCATAGGCAGCCTATTCCAATCCTTGAGAACCCTTTCCATGATGTAATAGGTCCCATAATTCAAGGCATAGAGCAAATAATAATAATCCAATATTTGTATTTAAGTCTTACAATGCTAATTAACGGGATCTCCATCATAATAATACAACAGACATTTTGGCAAGAAGAACACCAGTTCAGTGATGAAACCTAAATGAAATCACACCTCCACCACTGGGAGACCTGAGCCACAATATTCCTGCATGGATTAATAATGTATAAGTAGCTTGAGATCTTGCAGACATGCAAGTTTGGAAATGTCAATCCTAAGGTAAAATTCTGGCTTAATTTAAACATAAAAATCTCCACTATTGAGTGTCTGTTTGTGCATATCTGTGAGAATTTCCATTTAAAACTGCAACGCAGGAACATCTTGGCACATCGAGATAAAAAAACATTTGCCTGGGAAAGTTACCACTTGTTAGCTTTCTACCTTTTATATTAATTCCTTCTAAATTAATACAAAATGTGTGTATTAGTGCCTATACGTTAACTCACACAGTGTCAGTGAGCTACCTCACAAATTTAGAGTTCACTTTGAATTCGAGTCATCTTCATGCGTGGTTTCAAGCTAAGATCTATGCCTCATCATATTCCTATTCTGGTTACATCAGTGATCTGGTTTGATTGTATAGACACTACTGTAACATAAATACTTAACTACAAGAACATAGCTAAGAGATCATTTAATACTGTGACTCAGTCTTACAAACTACAAAAGTAATTTTCCTGCTGTCACTTCAGAGAATTTCATACATAAAAACCTGGTCTGTGAGCAGCCAGTAACGTTATGCAAAACTTCTGTGAGCTTGCCATCTTAACTCCATTCTGGCTGTCACCGAAACCAACAGCAAAACAGTCATTTACTGAGAGCAGGATTGGTCATTTGCAAAGATCAACACATTCAATGGCATTCACTCATCTCATAATCAATAGTTGTGATTCATATAAATATCAAAATTAGAGTCCACACCATATTAATTATCTATAATGTTGGTTTTTTCTATTTACTTGTACTGTTATCTAGCTTTCATTAATTACAGGTCTTGGATTATTTCAAAAATTTTAAGTACTGTATGAATAATGAGTATGACTGTCCATTCCTGAGGCATCCATTCTCAGAGGTCATCTGTAAACTATCATCACAGTTGGAGACTGTGAGAGCTACAAAAACACCATTTAGGATTACCTGATTCTGGGGCATGACTCAGAGCTTTTAAACTCTAGGAAGTTTCCTATCCTGCTGCACAGGTGGTCAGTGATATTCTGATCAGTGTTGAGGGGCAGTGTGGACACCAGGCAGCAGAGAAGAATTCTGTGTGCCTTTATCTCTGTTCTGAACTCAGGTTCTCTATGCTTTACATCCCCTCAGTTTGTCTTTTCCTTCCTTATTTCCAGCATACTCCTTTCTTCTAGGATAGGCATAGACTTTTTGTCACTTTTCCAGTCTCTACAGTGGTAAGTACCTATAATGTATCATAAGCAATTGCCTTTTTCCTTTCACATGGTTTTCCATCAAGCCATCCTGCCATGAACTCCTATTTGTATAATGAACCCAATTATTTCATATTCATCTATTACTGTATTACGATGAATGCAAGACTGTTTAGTTACTTGGGACAAGATCTGGGACACATTAGCCATACGTCATTGGCTGCCACTGTGCAAAACTGCATGGCATTTAAGAAATACCCATTTATCAAGAAGAAATCAAAAAGGGAAACCATTACCTTTTTAATGTCATTCTCACGAACAAAGAGAGTTCCTGCAGATGTGAAGTATTTAACACTGCTGGACAACAACATGAAGGCCCATCGCTAAATACGTGCATAGGATGGAGATCCTTACAGCTGGCTACTGTTAACAATCTCAAAGCAAGTAGCTTTTCTGCATAGAGTCAGTGTCATGTCACAGAACCTACAAGCCTTGCAGGGGTGAGGCAAATGCCATCACTCAGGTGCATCCCTTTAGACCTTCATTACCTTTGAAAAATAAGAACTCCTTACACAGGGAGTTGTGCTTCTGCCTTCATGTCACCAGGAAATGTCTATTATTTCACGTATAGATGCTGTTTCTATAAAATTCCAGAATATGCATGTGAAACTCGAGAGGCCAAAGACCACATACTAAATTTGGGCTCCAATGAATCAGTAGGGAAGAGACTTTGCCTAGATTTTTCTTCTTGTTATTTCTATGAAAAACTCCTAGATTTTTTGTATTTAATGGAAGTCAAAACCTTTAATTATCGTAATTTCCCTTACATGAAGAAAATTCAAAACCTACCTTGATTTTTCAGTGGTAAAGGCATAGTCTCCCTGAGTTTGCTTAAAAGGTTTTTCATTTCTCTCATATCTCTGTGGATACAACAGTTAAAAGAGAGACAACAGAATGGCAGTTGAAGACTGAACGGGGAGTCGCTCACAGTATAGCTTTATATGCTGAAATAATGGAGCAATAAATACAACAATCTTATAACAAACGTGGATAGAGCCTTCCTAAATCTTCGTTCGTGAAGCCTAGCCACGATGATGAAATACAACAATCAACTGGGCAAGCATTTGGTATCCAAACATATATCAGAAGATGTATACCAAAAGAAAGGGCAATAGATTTAATAAGGGAGCACTTTCCCACTACCCTGATACTAAACTAGTTGCTTCTGGTTCAAATTTATGATCTATTCTGGGACTTGAGTTAGTAAATAACTTGGTGGGCACGATGTGATCCCAGTGACAAAATACACAATATTCCATAAAATTATCACAAGCTAGTACTAATGTCAACTTTGTACTCCTTGTCAGCATTTTGTAGCTTATGCCATGAACGTGTTTCACTGTTTAGAAGAAAATTATAACACATGTAGCTAATCCATGATACTTCAGTCCCCTGCACATAAATGACAATTTAAAAAACAGGGCTGTCACTCCCACCACTCTTAGGAGGACTCTGGCATTAGTTTTTCTGAAAGGCAGATGATGGAAAATACGATAACAAAGTATTATCTCCAAAGCAACCTACATAAGGATATGTTTTGAATGTGGCCAGAAATTTCAAAAAAGTTCTTGTTTTACTGGTAGACAGCAGACCAGCAA